CATCTCCAGAAGGTATTGGCACATCATGAGACCCCACTTTGATGGTAATTACTTCCGAAGTCCTTGCCTCCACCTTGATGTGCTTTCCTTTCCTTCTTTCTTCATCAGCCCGATTTTTACCATAAAACCGGCCGTTGTTTGGTGAAGACAAACGCTCATGAATTGGCCTCCTTAGTCCTTCCCACCCTTGGTTGAATTGCATTGGAGGCATATGATTGAACATTGGCGGCGTTGCCCCCCATGGCATGTAATAAGGATAAGGATAACCCGGCGGCGGCATTGGATAAGAACCCCATGACATATCTTGTGGATGATGATATGGAGGTGAATGCGACTGTCTTGGTGAATGACCAAATCGCTCCCTAGGAGGTAATCTTGGTCTTTTTCCTTTATTGCGAGCTCTCAAACCACCTTCCTTCTCATACTTTTTTCAAAAGCATGTCAAAAGTCACTTTGGTCTTCCTAGGGGCTTTAGAAGTTGAAGCTCCACTCTTATTCTCCTTCCAAATGCCAACCTCCGGCTTCTTTGGCACTATCATCTTAGGCCTTGGTTTGCCAATGACCACTCCTTTTCCCTTAGTAGATTCGGCTTGCTCCGACCGAATCAACACTTTTTTATTATTGAAATTAATTGTATTCACCGGAAAAGGATCATGATCAAGCTTCATCTTGGAGCCATCGGTGAACTTCAATCGTCCTTCATCTATGGCCGATTGAACCTGTCGTCGAAACACATTGCAATCATTAGTAGAATGAGAATGAGAATCATGCCATTTACAATATGCTCGACGTTTGAACTCTTCTTGAGATGGTATGACATGGCCTTTAGGTAATCTAATTTGTTTTTCTTGTAAAAGATAATCAAAAATTTTATCACACTTGGCCACATAAAAACTATATTTAACCTCACTTTGTCGATCTTTGCGAGGAGTCGGCATTAGGTTAGAGCAAACAAAAGGCTTGTTTTTATTAGTACATGACCACTCGGCAACATATATATCATGATAACCCTCTTCCTCACTATCACTAGCCTCAGGGTAATCAATCGCATTAACATTGGGCTTTTTGTCATATGATCTAACAAGTTTTTTATTATCCTTAACCCGGCTTTCCTGAGCCAGAGCCCTTTGCATAAGTTGACTAACATCAAGAAATTGTTGGCCATCTAGTCTTTCTCTAAGAGGAGCAATTAAACCATTAAAAGCAAGACCAGCCAAATCTCTATCAGTTATATTCAAGGTATAACATCGGTTTCTAACATCCCTAAATCTCTTAATATAATCAATGACTGGCTCATTATACTTTTCCTTAACCGATGTTAAATCACATAACCTAAGCTCAGTTTCTCCAGTATAGAAATAATCATGAAATTTCTCTTCTAATTGAGCGCAAGTATGAATAGAATTTGCCGGTAAAGAAGTAAACCATGTAAAAGCATTACCAGACAAAGATAAAGAAAACAAGCGCAATTTAAAAGTATCACTATTAGCCTCACCACATTGTGCCAAAAATTGACCTACATGCTCCCATGTGGTTTCACTATCCTCACCACTAAACTTGGTAAATTCGGGAACTCTATAATTACGGGGAAATGGCACATTATCATAATAGTCAGGATACGGCTTTTTGTAAACCCTAGCACGATTCCTAGTTTCAATCCCGAATCTATTCCTAATAATCTCACTAATTATATCCTCCATATTATTAGGCCCATGTTGATTTGGCGGTGGATTAGGTGGTCTAATAGGTTGTGTTTGTGGCGCAATATGATTATATTGGCCTTGTCTAGTATCGGGAGGATACCCCCTAGCAACATCATTATAAGCATTAGGAACATGTGGGGGAACTTGGGGACTACTTGTAGCACTAGATACAGGAGGATCAAATGTTCTAAGATGATACAAATAACCAACATTAGTCATTGGATCTATTCCCTGTATCGGAACAATTGCGCCGGTCTGACCGGCCCAGGGCCCGGTCTGACTGGCATCCAGAGGTGCGGTCGGACTGGCCTGAGTGCCGGTCTGACCGCCGGGGTAATACCCGGTCTGACCGGCCGTTTGGCCGGTCGGACCGACGGCTAAGTCCTGGTCTGACCGGTCGTCAGGCCCGGTCAGACCGGCCGTGTGCGCCGTTCCATCGGTTTTACTACCCGTTTGATCTATAGGAGGTTGGTTAGCAGTGGTAGAGGCTTTATCCTTTGACATGTAATCAGCCATAAGAGGGCCGAATTTAACCCTTAAAAACTTATCAAATTTACCCTCAAAAGTTGCATCTAACTTATCTTTAAAAGCAATCATAGATGAATCTATTGTAGATGCTACTTGTTGTTGGATAGATTGTGTTACCTCATCATTACTTACCAAGTCGGGGGCAAGCTTAGGACGTGGCCCGGGCTTGATGATCACGCCTTGAGGAGTCCTAGTGCTTGCCCTCATCAACGCCTCCCGTGTGAGTTCGTTGATGTACTCCTCCATAGCTTTGCGGTCCTCTCCTTCGATATCCTCCAATGTGACCGGTATCACATTGGATGGCTCCACCTCCGTCTTGGATGGCGGCTTCGTCATGGCGAAATCGAAGTTGAGTTGACGATGAACGGATCTCGTCCCCAGTGGAGTCGCCAAAAATCGTGTTGGCAACTTTTTTGACAAGTTGACAAGCACGATCGTAGCACCTTAAGCCTTGCGGTGATCCTAGAGTCGCCAACCACCTCGATCTAGCAAAGAGCTAAACCTAGATGGGTTTTGATAACTAAACCGACTAGCGGAGCCGATTTATAGATAACTACCTGTCTCGTGGGCAAAACGGAAAGTTTTCAGGACAAATCTACAAAGAGATGTCGCACTCTCGTAGCGGCAGCGGACGGTTTACGGTGCAAACCGACAAAGATGGACAAACTAAGAGAAAACTAAAAGCAATATGAAAAACGATTTGATTGATTGATTGTAGATTTTTTTATTACAATGAACCGGCCATGTCCCTTATATAGGGGTTGGTCTTGCCCTCTACAGGCCCTACTCCACGTCCAAGTCGGGGTAGAAACCAAAGGAAACCCGAAACATGCCTTCCCGAGCAAGAAAACTTCGAGACCCAACGAAACACAGTCGGACTCGGACCTGCCGGTCAGATCAGCCACACACCGCCGGTCTGACCGGCCCTCAACCGGTGGTCTGACCGCCCAACACACGGCAGTCAGACCGGCCCACTCGGAGGAAACCGGTAGACTTCCAAATTTTGGCAATCTTTCCTATCTTAATCCTAAGTGCCAAATTTGGGTGTAAACAGGAGGAGCATGAGGGCGAGGTGACCATGTGGAAGGGAAGAAGGGATTAGGGTTGGGAATTGTTGCACAAATCTCAAAGCGTATAACCGTCTAAAATTCGTAAGGTTTCGTAAGGTTTTTAGGTGTGTTTTCTATCAAATCCATATAGGCAGTCCCTTTCTTTAATCTACCATCTAAACTTACATCCAAAATATAGAGTACTTTTAATTTATCATGTAAATGTTGTAGCCATTTAAGTTAATTATTACTTTTATTTTGCTATAGTATTAAGCTAGATTAATTAACATTGTGGTTTAGCAAAACATTAGAACCATATTACATGTGGACTATGTGCCAAAACTCTTATATTTTTTAAAACTTTAACCATAATATGTGGGTTTTTTAAATTTATTTTACCTCTAAAGCAGTTGGGATTTATACACCTTCCTAAGGATGGGAAAAAACAAAAAAAAACTAAAAATCTTGATAGAAATAAACACTACTAAAAAAATGACATCAGTGCTGAAAATAGACCCGACATAAAACTTTTGGCACTAATGATACCCTCCCCCCTGCCAAAAAATCAGTGTTGGGTCTCTGCCCGGCACATATGGGCCTAGACGCACATAGGCAAAATCTGGATAGAATCATGTGACAGGTAATTTCTAAACCCAACACTGATATGGACAAAATTTAGGCTATGGAAAAAGTACAAAAATATTTTTAATACTCTTACTATCCTTACTCATGTATCTACAAAGCCACAACCACTATTACCTATTTTCGCAAGTCGTATATAATTCGTGTCATGGCAAGGATTCAAACTTGAGACTTCTACCTCGTATTCAGTTTCCTTACCAACTCACTTACACATCAATCCTGTTAGCAAATGGTATTTTCCCTTTTAAGCCTTTCTAAACCCAGATTTGAATCATGAATTTGAGTATAAAAACACAAATAAAAATGTTGTCAACTACCAAATTATAGATCTTGTTGAGAGCTACAATTTTCATATAAACTGTCGTAATCCGAATTTGTCTGAAAAAGTTATGTTCATATGGTCAAGCTTATCACTGCCTGGTCATAATAATACCCAGCATGACCAGTATTCTAAAAGCCCGGCACTGATGTCCTTTTCCGCTAAAAGTAGAGTCAACTCGTTCCAAACGGGAAAACCCGACACTGATGTGTTACTCATCGATATCGGTTAGTGACAAGACCCGACACTGATATGTCACCGAACAATCACAGCCAGATGGTTGTAAGACCCGGTATCGATGTCTTCTTATCAGTGTTGTGTGAAGTAGGTGCATAATGCGAACTCGTTCTTTGGGCTGAAAAGCATGGTCAGTGCTGGATTTTGTCGATCCGGCACTGATGAGAGGGGCATTGATTGTAACACCCTAGGTATCCTTTTACCTACAATGCTATACACTATGGAATAAAAACCACCAAATCCTAAATCCATTAAGAATTTTGACAGAGTCTCCCCTCTAAATCCATTAAGAATTTTGACAGAGTCTCCCCTGTAAATATGGATTTCCACGGCTGGTAGTTAATATATTAAACTATTAATAATATTATTCCCACAGTGCGATCCATCCATATAATCCATGGAAATAAACTAATAGATATCTAAACGATTATTACAAGACCAAACCATGATATAGTTTAAGTGTCATTATGTACCTAAGTAATATAGTTTGATAGTGTGTAGATAAATGTGTATATAAGAGTGCTACTTCCCGCCCTTGCATGCCGATCTCAATGTGTACCTAAAACCAAACAAACACAATAGTGAGTACAAAAATACTCAGCAGGTATAATATGGAAGTAGAAAACACATATACACATGATTGGAAATAGAGAATGAGCAAAAAGTTTTCCTTCTTTGAAAAGAAATAGCAAGGTTAAAGGAATTAGTAGTTCCCATCCCGAGCATACATGAAATAAAGTAGTATTTTCCATCCCGTACAGTTGCGAATACATCCTAACAATTGCCGGCAAGACCGAATAAGCGTGATCAGCGCTTACCCACATGAACATGAATAAAACCAGATAGCATATACATGACTCGCATGGAACATGATTAATTGAAACCGGAAATAAGGAAACAAATTGAAACCATATTGCACATCCATGACAACTATGGAACTTGAATTATTTACTGAGAACTAGCATACGGAATATTAAAACAAGGATAACGTCGTAAACATAAAATACACTTGAAATCTAAATGGCATGAACAACAGTCTGAATATAAGCAGCCACTTATCACATAGAAATATAACGGAAATAAATAGATAGAGCCATCAATCCATAAATCACACAATTAGTTTGTCATGTACTTGCATTTAACCTTGACGGTAACCCGACGAACCACCTTCCACACCAGATCTCTCCACACATATGGAGCAAAACTACGAATAAACCACTGTATTCAACTAATGATAGTTACAAAGGATATTTACTAAAAATCAAAATCTAGAACATATAAACTTTTTACCTATTTGTATTAAACAACCTATAGTAGTTCCATTACTGCTTTATGCATAACTCGCAAACCGTCTAACGGAATCTGGCAACCAATACAACTTTGGTCATCTAGTTAAAAACTGTCTACAACTTTTATGTTGGGTGAAAAATCAGGTTACGCTTCTGTAGGTCTCAGATTAAGGAAACACGAATTCTCCCTATTTCCAGACCCGACAGTAGTACTTTTTTTGTTGTTTCTGCTAAACCGTTTATCGGAATCAAGGGAAACTAGCGCCGTTAGAAAGATATCAACGATGACTACAAACTTTATTTAGGACAACTAACCTGAATCCTGATGATTTAATACCAGATTTGAAAATACGGTTTCCGGCCCGTAAACAAAAACCTCAAAAATTGCACGAGCGGCTATCGAATCACTTTCTATTTGAATCTTATAGTTCTAGGGAGTAAACAAAAATACCGTTACAGCGAGGATACTAAACAAAAGTACCGTTACAGCGAGGATACTAGAACGGCCTTTACCTTCCCTTCTTCCTCCTGTTCTCCTGATCCTCTGCACTCTGAACCTTCTCCTCTCTGTCCGATGCAGCAGCAGCCAGCAGCAGACCATGCAGCAGCAACCGCATGGAACCATTAGTAGCAGCAACAAACAACCAAAGCTGTAGCCATAGATCAGATCGACAACAGCAGGAGCTCACTGGGAAGAAGCAAAACGGAAAGGAACCATCGGTTGCGATGGATGACGACGGTTTTGCGGTCTCTGGCAATGGCCGTGGTGGCGGCGCAAAGACGGCGGCTGCAACCAGATGACAGCAGCAGTGGCAAGAGCGCAGGTGCGGTGGCGGCTAGGGCTGGCTGTAGCGATCTCTCCTTTATTCCTTTTTTCTTTTTTTTTATATAAAGAAAAAATGCCTGTGCGTTGCAATGGGTAAAGTTGGTTTTTTTTACAAGCCGAGTAATAAAATAAAATATTGGGATCACAATACATTATAATTAAAAAGTAGCCCATTCCGTGCCTGTAAAATGGTGGAGTTATCCTCCTATCAAATTCGGCTGAATCTTTCTCGATCTCCCAAAATTGATCGAGTGCTTTTAATCTACTCGATCTCCTCTTTCTGTTTGTCTACTCGATCTTCTCTTTCAGTTTTTTTCAAAATCAGAGCTAACCAAACTCACCCATCGACCATTATCAACTACGGTTAAATATAGATTAAATTCAACAAATTAAATCCAAAATTGAAATAGGAAATCATGGGGAACATGATGATAAAGGTGTGGGAAATCGATTTTTATAATCAATTGAAGGAGGAAATATATGGGATATGGGAGGTAGCCTAGCTGCAGCTTAGGCTTGCGGATTGGATAGGAGGAGATCGGAAAAAAAACGGAACTGACCCACTAAAAAATTGGAAAAAAATACATGTGGAGAAGGGAAAAACCGGGCCAAAAAAAGCTAAAAAAGCAAAAACATCTTAAATTTTTATAATAGGTAAAGATGAGACTAAAAAGGAGATCTAACGCCCACATCATTTCAATCCACAAGACATCATTCGGACTCCGATTACTATAAATTTATAGTCCATGTTGCATTACTCGACGAGCTCTACGCATCCACGGTTCCTGATCGCCTATTCGAAACAGTTTAAAAGTTGAACTTTTACGTGTATATTCTAATATTTTTCAAAATACATTAATTTGAAACTCGGGTATTACATTGATGTGCTGCTCCATGGTAGTGAAATGATTACATTCAAATGCTGTGCATCACGTTTTATGTAGATATATGCCAACAAGACCTCTAAGTACTAACATGATGGCACTCTCTAAGTTTTCTATGTACTAATCTATGCTTTCTATAAAGTTACAAGCCCACTAAGTCAGGCAACTATATATGCCACTTTATCACCCTCTAGCAATAATTACATATTTAATCATGCAAGAATACAACATAATTTACAATTTAATTAATTATACAAATCAAAATGCAAGCATATCCAATCACCACCCCTCATATCATTTGCATAATATTTTAACAAAACTATCTATCACATTTACAATATTTAACATATATTGATCAATATGTTTCACACTAAAGCACGTGTATCATTTGACTGATAAACCCTAATGTTTCAACTTTTTTTCTTTTTACTCCTAGCTTGATTGTAAAAAAAAAGTTAATATTGGAAATTTCTTAGTAATTCCCGCTGCAAAACGTGGGAAATCACCTAGTACTAATATATAAAATAGGCCACATCACCATCCAACACTAGTGGAGAAACCTTTTTTTACTCCCGGTTGGTAACCCCTTTAGTCCCGGGTTTCCAACTGGGAGTAGGAATCCGGGACTAAAGATCTGGTTGAAATAATGGGGACCAAAGATCTATCTTTAGTACCGGTTGGTAGCAAAAACCGGGACTAAATATAGGGATCTTTAGTCCTAGTTGGTAAAGAGAGGGTAGCGGCAGTCTAGATGGCCCCCTTTTCTTTTTTGTTTCTTTTTTGTTTTCTCCCAAATCGAGTGGCATGCACATCCCAAACCAAACGCTAAATCTCCAAATCAAAGTAACATCTCAAATCCACATCACAAATCTTAAAGTTACTTATACGCACAAATCAAATACATCACAAATCCTAAAAAAATTACACACAAATCAAAAACATCACATATTATACATCTCAAATCCATACAATGAATCATAAAATTATACATCTCAGTGATTCACAAAATAAAAAAAAGAAAGAGAAAACAAGCTCCAAGCACAGCGCCACTACTACTGCTACTACTCAGTGCACCGTGTTTGCAGCTGCGCGCGCATGTGCTCCCCCTGCAACCGCACGTTTGCACCACACGCCGCGCGTCCGCGTGGCCTCCTCCGTCTCCAGGGGAGGGAGGAGAAAGGGGAGAAGGGGGAGGAGAGGGGAGGAGGAAGGGGAGGCGAGGATCGGCTGTGACCTGTGAGGAAGTGGTTGTGATTGTGGAGGAGAGGATAAGGGTTAGGGATTATATACTACGTGTTGAATTTTAGTCCCGGTAATACCAACCGAGAGCAAAGATCTAAATTATCTTTAGGATGACTAAAGTGGTGATCTTTAGTCCCGATTGGTGTCACCAACTAGGACTAAAGATCCTCGCCCCCTGACATGCCTCTAACAGAGAATGAATCGGGACTAAAAACCATCTTTAGACTAAAGATCATATAATGGCTGTGGGGTTTTCAACCGGGGCTAAAGATCATTTTTAGTCCCGGTTCTTTTTGGAACTAGACTATTGTGGTTTTGGGTCGACCTAGTAAAGATCAATTCTCCAGTAGTGCAAGTATCCTACATGACCTATACCACAATGAGATAAGACTCTCTATTTGCTAGTCCTATATAGGACACAGACCACAACAACAAAACTAGCACAGACCTCTAACTCAGTAACAACGACGAAAGTAGCATAACGATAATATATTAGACAACTGGAATAACATTTTTATGGGGTTTATAATATACACACAACAAAGCTATAAGTTTTCTTTAAAAGAAAACCCGTGGCAACGTATGGGCATTATGGTAGTTCATTCTGAAATTAATTAACATGATAACAACTGTAATTAAGGGTTGTTTTGATCTTTGGTATCGGTCGATGGGAATTTCGGAGTTAGCCGTGGTTTCTTAAACCTGTCCCGTATCTCCGTCAGCACGTCCGGGTAGCTCTGCACCACCTCGTAGCACTCGTCGTTGGTCGCCACCGAGTAAATCTGCGTGTTGGACAGGAACTCGAGGCACGACCCCCTCAGCTTCGGGTACGACCCCTTCTCCGTCAGCGCCAGCGTCGAGGCGACCGTGTCCATGTTGATCCCGGCGCACAGCGTGTCCTCGCACGCCTGCCTCAGCGCCTCCACCCCGTACGCGTCGGCCGCGACGAGCAGCCGCTGCAGCTCGGCGATCCTCGTGACATGGTCTGCCTCGCCGTCATCGTCGTCACCGTCGCCGGTGGCCGGTGGCGGTAGCTGGTTGCAGTAGATGTAGTGGAGCATGTGCTTGAAGGTGGTGGCGCTGATGCCGTCGATGGTGACGACTGCGGTCTCCGTCTTGGTCTCGGCGTCATCGGAGCCGAACAGCAAGCTCCTGAACACCTCCGACTGCGCCGCCATCACCAGGCGGTGCGCGTTGAACCTCTCGCCATCGACGTCGAAGCATACGTCGGTGAGAGTACTGTCCTTCTTGTTCGACATGGCGGCGAGACGGTGGCCTAGCGAGTCCAGCCATAGGCAAGGTGGCAACTCCGGGAGAAAGAGCACGGAGCACACCGCCACCAGGACGCCATCCTGCACGCAGTTCTCCTCGAGGTAATCCTTGGAGACGAGCAACCCGCACCCTCCTTGGTTGCTCCCGGCGGCGGCCTGGATAGCCATGGATCTCGTAGGCGGCTGCAGGGCCACCGACCTGGCATTGTCGACGAGGACGAGATCGACCACCACCTTGTGCACGTCTCGGTAGCGTGGGCCGGACACAACCACGGCGAAGGCGGCCAGCTTTCTCCGCCCGATCAGCAGCCTGAAGGACGCCTCACACCTGTACGCGCCGCTGTCGCCGATGGCGCACGTCGTGCGCAGCGTACGGCCGGCGACGGCGGGTCGCCTCGCGGCCGCGTAGTCGACCCGGAACGTGACGTGCCGACCGTCGCCGGAAGAGAGGAGCTTGCACAGTGGGCTGTCGTTGATAACGGCTACACCTTGATCGGTGGTGCTGGCAGCTGCCATTGGTGACGTCGAGAAAGGAGAGTAGGTGGAAGAGGAGGGGGTGGTCGGGGGTGGGAGTGGAGGCGGCGATGTGGTTCGGGTTGGTTGGCACAGCATCTATACTATGCAGAGGCGGCAAACGAGAAATCCGATTGGTTATATTTCGGTCCTTATATTTAGAGTTCGGTTTGGAATTATATCTGTTTATCTATTCGGTTTCAAGAAGAGACACAGAAACGTATTGCAAAACTATGTATGTAGGGCAACCCAGTGTGTATATAGTAGTAGTCGTCGTCCAGGGGGCCGGTTTGATTTTGGTTAGGAGGCAAATGTTGACAACCGCAGTATACATTCCTTCTAGATATCAGAGCAGGAACAATAATTTTGACAACTATTACCATATTAACTCTTCACTGTATCTCTTCTCTATCTCTATCTCTATCTCTATCTCTACTATTATAAAATTAAATATGTTTTTACCGGTACTTTGGTACGTCATCCGTGTATGGGTCGGTTTTATGTCCGTTTGCTTTTAGAAATACAAATTCGTATTTGAGTCGGTTTTTAAGTTCGTTCGCTTTTGAAAATACAGAGAAATCGTATAAGAAATCTCTTTAAAAAACTCGCATGCTAACTTGAGACGATCGGACTCTAATTGCAGCTCATGATTTTGTAACAAAATATATATCCAAACGAATTTAACACAATGCATTTCATATTAACTAAACCATATATCTCTATCTCTTCTCTACTATTATAAAAATTGAAGGTGTTTTTGCCGATATTTTGGTAGATCACCCGTGTTTGAATAGGTTTTAATTTAATGTTTCTATCCAAGCAAATTAATTGGGCTGCCTTGAAAAAAAAACGTGTCCGATTCCCCGTAAAGAGGGTGAAAAAACCGTCCGTAATAAAAGTAAAAACAGAGCGAAAAAGTCCCCCAAAAGAAAAGTCTGATTCCCCGAGAACGGCGAAAAAAAGTCGTTCCTTAATAAAACAAAAGATTCATTTTTTTATGCAGCAATAAAAAAGGCAGTTAAGCAGTCCGTGAAAAAAATCCATCCAAATAAAAAGGCAAAAATAAACAAAAAAAAAGCCTTCAAAAGAGAACAGAACGTTTCCGTCGTAATCTTTACCTATTATAAAAATTAAATAATTTTATACTCATCGAATTTTTGTCCGTTATCCCTTCGTTCCAACAAGCCGTCTTGTTCGTTACTCGGTTCCCGACCACGCGCAGGTATGTGATCGGCCGCATCCGGCTCTGTTTATGACGCGTACAATGCGTTAGACAGCTCAACCAAGTACCATGTAACTAAGGTTTATCCTCTTATTTAACATATAAGTGTGTTCACGGGTGTTAGGACAAAACTCAACGAGTACTGTATGTGTATTGTCTCTGTATTCAAATGTGATCAACTGTGAGCAATGTTTACATATTTATACAAAGGTATATAAGAGAAAATTACTTTATTGTGAGCAATGTTTACATATTTATACAAAGGTATATAAGAGAAAATTACTTTATTGCCCCTAGTTCTATAGTGAATCTAGAGTGGCTGGCCGGTGGGCTAGCCCTTGGGCAGAGAAAATACTATGACAAATTTATACTGTAGCATCGATGGTGCAACAGGATGGCAGAGGGAATCCAAGCCGTTGGCTCCATCGTTCCAACGGTTATAATGTGCTCCAACTGATAAAGTTGTAGTCGTTACTACAACAACACCGGATCTCACTTCTTCAAGACGGCTTTCAGATGCTGCACCTGGCCACTGACTATCCACTTAATTAATGCAAGGGGTCTTGCTATCGGTGACCAGCTCTTCTTCACAAACACGGAACGTCGGCAGATGCTTCTAGGTGAGCCCCATGGACCTGCTCGACAGTTGAGATGGTTTTTTTAATTTAGGCAAGATTCGATTTGTACAACGGTGTCTCTGTTAATCTATCTTTATCTTTACCATACTATAATGGAGCAATTTAGGTAGACATGCTAGACCCTCACCGTTTGATTGTGAAATCCAATGGCCCAGATCAGTTCAACGATCCTCCTAGAGTCTCAGTGAAATCATTCGTGCCACCAACTAATCCCACACATACGCCCCTCCCTCTGGTGCTAACCACGCCTCCAACCCTCCACAACCTACACATAGATGGCCAAATAGGCTGCTCGGCCCGACCATGCCCAGCCGTGAGATCAGTCATGCCGACATGGTCCGACCTACACGCCGAATCGGGCTGTGTCCGTTCGTGGGATGCACGACCTAACAGGGGTGGATTTAATGTAGAAATGATGAGGGCCTTGGACCCTTGTCAAAATTACACTCCTTAGGTATATCGGTATATCCCTAGTAGTATGACCTATGGGCCCCCACTTTAATTGGGAGGAAGGACCTCAGTCCCCAAGTTTTTGTTCCTTTCATCGCAATCGCGCACGCGTGGAGGGGTCGAACGGCCGCTCCCTTTCTCTAATTCTCCCAGATTCCATCAACTGGCAAATCCGCAAATTATGGATCAGGGAAGGGAATAGAAAGCGAACCCACCATTCGTCGCGCTTCCCCGCATGCCACACAGTTCGTCTTCACCTGAATCGCCGCTTTCTGCCTTCGTCGACCGCTCATCATCGTCAGCGCCTCAGCCTCAGCAGCGCTGCTCGTTCTCTCCTCTCTGCCTCCCTGGTACGTACTCATCCCCTTGACCCTCTCCTCCCTTTCGTGCTATCAATAGTTATAGTGGATGGATCCATAAGTCTCCCTCCTCATGTGCTCTATCTAATTAGCATTCCCATGATTTGGTTGGTGAGATAATGAACAATTTTTTTATTAAAAATCCAGCAGCTATGAACACCACCGGAGGAAGTTCTAGTGCAAATGCATCTAGACCAATACTGAGAAAAATCTGGACTCTGGAGTGCCTCAACCAATTCATATGGACAAGTTTCCTCGGATACAGTAAAAGGAATAGAATGGCAGTTATCATCCCAACATGAAGACATAAGAAAATATTAGATACAATCTCTAATGACGTGATTGTCGATTGTTTCCATAAAATGAAACACCGTCGTGAAAAGGGTAAAAAGGATGCCATGTACTATATTTATAAATCTTATTTCTTATCTATATATACTAGTTTCAGTAATATTTATATGGCTTGTGTTAACTTATGTTGTTTCTATATACAATTGACATTATTTGAAAGGCCTATCTATATATTACTATTAAAAATAATGTAATATCTCAGAGTTTTTAGAAGCTGCAATAAGGTGAGTTTCACTTGGCTTTCTAACTATTCTATGAGTTATATAGATGCATGCCCCCAGTCATTTTTTATCCTGCGTCCGCCCCGCGACCTAATAAGATGGGTTGTGCCGTGCCGGAGGCACGAAAGCCCATCGTACTCGTCTTTAGAATAAGTCTATTTTGCCTTCCAAATCTCTTTGGGTCGTGCCATATAGGCTAGAATAAGTCTATTTTGCCCTCAACTATTTGCACATGCCTTATATGGCTGACAATAAGTCTATAGTTCCTCCCTCATCCATTTTCCTCCGATCATTGGACCGTGCCATGCTGGGCCAGCCCACCATGCTGAGGCAGAGGCCGAGGCATGACCCAACGGTCAGGCCGGGTTGGCACGGGCCCAACATGTGCCGTGCCTGGACCGGGGCAAAACCCCATACCATGGGCCGGGCCATCGGGCATTCGGGCCTAGGCGTTTTGGCCATCTATACCCTGCAGCCCGTTCCCCCCAACTCCCGTCGTCGCTGCCCTCCAGCTCCCATGGCCTATGCTTTCCATCGCTGCAGGCTACCCCAGTCGCTGTTGCGCCCTCCACCTTCACTGCACCGTTCTCGGAAGCCCTAATGGGCGATTAGTCACGCCCCCCGCACGGCCCGCAGTCAGTTGACTCCTCTAGTCTCTCCTATCTACTACATATATATACGTATATAAAGTATATATGTATGTATACATATTGTATATATTTATTATTTTTTTAATATGTATATATTTTTATATACAAAGTTTGTATAGTTATATATAAACTTTGTATATGTATATATACAAAATATACCAATTTTGTATACGTATATATACAAAGTTTGTAAATGCAATATAAACTTTGTATACTCATTTGTATACGTGTGTATTAAAAAACCGAAAAAACTGAAAAAGATATGGAAAGAAAAAACAGAAAAAAGAAACGTGCGCCAAAAAAGAAAAGGAAACCGGACTAAAAATATACGAAAAGAAAAAAAAAACAGAAAAGAAGAAAACCGTTCGTTAAAAAAAAAAAAGGGAGAAACCGCGTGCTGGCCGCGTCCCCCTCTCCGCGCGGGGGAGGACGCGCGCGGCTGAGCGCTCGTTAGTCTTTTCAGCGGGTTTGCCCCAGGATATGGTACTGGTGGCGCTGGACAAAGCAGACAGCGATTCGCGACGGCAAGCAGTACATGTGGTTGGTCGTTGCATGCGTGGCTACTGTTAGAATAAATGGGCTGGCCCGATTTTTCTATTAAATTGCAAAGGCCCATAATAAATATTAAGGATAATAATACTACCCTGGGAATTAAACGAGGAGTATCTCAATTTAAATAGGGAGTTATTGGAGGCTCCCTGTTGACCGGTTGAGGTGTGGATCGGAAAGCCACACGCGCGCGCGCCTAGCCTGTGCTGCTTCTGTCTGCTTCCCCGGTTTTGATCGCTTGCACGCACGAGAGATCGGAACGAGCAGGGCATTCAGAACCACACCATTGCCTGAGATCTGCACCGGGTAGGCGGGTGATCAAGTTTTTGGGGAGTGCTTCCGCACGACTGCTCTCGTCTTCTGTTCGTCGACGTTCGTCATCGACCGTACGTCTGCATCACCATGTCTGCCTCACTTGCACCTAGAAATGGCGCATCGAGAGCTGGTGCACAGAACAACAACACCAACGGAGGCAGTTATGCCTCACAATCCAGCGGAGGGACTTTCACAGGGTATAATCCTCTACTGCTATTTCAGTTTTTGATATTTCTGTTAGTCGCAAT